GGCATATTATTCACTAGACTTGCAGTTTTATTTCTGAAGTATAAGAACAGTACAAAAAAACGACATACATTATTATCCAGATTACAATGATTTTAAGCATATCTTGCAGTATGTCACAGGCAGTGGCAGTGTACCCCTCAATACATTTTACTTCATATTACAAAGCTACTAAACGGCACAATACAAGTTTTTATTAGTCAGGCCTTCAGGAATGTACGCAGTTTGCAGATAAATATGCAAAATAGACAAAATGATTCACTTTTAAATGATTAAAACTATTTGGCTATACAGTAAATGCACCAAGTGCATTTGCGACACAATTTTGGATTATATATGGTCTTGGTCGTACAATTTAACAAGGGTTCGATTCACTGTTCAAAGATTAAAATTAATCTAAATCTGAAGGAATGGTGTGTCTCTTGTTAGTATTGCCAGGCCTAATTTTAATGGCAGTGGATTATAAAACATTATAAACACTACATTAACATTTTCTAATTTGAGAATATGCCACCCCCCCAGCTCTGCCCCTGACTGGCTATTAGACTACTGATAATGGTTCCCTTTACAGTTTCAGGGCTGAATATTTACAATACAGAGTAAGAATCAGGTATTTTCTGGAGGATGGTGCACAAAACAAGAACAGCTGGTAGAGGGGCTTTGTGGACTTCATGTTTTGCTGTGTTACCTGTTGCAACATTGAATATTTGAAATGATAGTGCATACAATTTAAGAATTTTGGGCAGGAAAAAAGTACAGTATAACTCTCTGACATTGACTGAATTGTATTATAAAATTCTACGACACTGTGGTTCAGCCTCAGCAGCTGGTTTCCAAAAGAAGCCATCACCATACAGTGCACAGGTCAGTTTGTTCTGCATTAAGTCCTGCTTTTTGTTTAACCACTTTCCCCTGGTCCATAAGAACCGTCAATAGGTCATGCATCAAAAGTAATCTCTGGGTTTGTTGGTTCCTTCACTTTCGTTTTCTCCCTCATAATCTCAATATTGTACCTTTTTATGAGTCTGACCAAGAGGGTGTGTCCACTAATCCCCTGTGGTTTGCATTAAGTGTTCCATCTGTTCTTTACTCAACTGAAGCATTGTTTTTGACAGATGTAGTCTCTGCCTTACATGTGCCCTTGTAAATTATTAGCTCCGAAATGCATTTAGCATTTCCTGTCAAGCTCAGATACCAACAATGCAATATCCATTGTAAATGTTTATATTGACTTGTATGTGGAATATGAAGGTTAGTCAATGAGACCTTGACAGGAGCCCTATACTGTGCAGGAAGCAGCACCTGCACAAAGATAGGAGCTGATGCAATTTTCGGAGTTTTTGTTCATGTTCTATTTTTTTGTTGTTGTTTGTTTGTTTGTTTGTTTACTGATACTCCAACAGGAATATCAACTAGCCAGTATTGTATCAGACCCCATCTGGGACCTTCTTGCTGCACAAACCAAGATTGTGAAATAGCTGCGTTTTGCTAATAAATTGCACTGGAAACCGGGCTGGCATCTTTTTCTTTCT